GTGTGTAACCCTGTGAAGTGTGACACTTCAGTTCCTTCATTACTTCTGGAAGTTCATATACGTAATGACTGGTGCATATTCATGCATTCACGAGGAAGAGTACAGAAGCACACACATTTTCCCGTCTAAACTGTCACTGAATCAACACCCTGACTTTATACGCAGGGAACATCATTCAGCTACAACTTTCAGTTTTTCAAATAAGTATTGTAACACAACAGAAGGTTTAGCTACTGGTAGTTAGAAGAGCCCTGTTGGAGCTGCCCAGGGGACAGTCTATTAACCTCCGTTCTCTGGACACATTAGAACTGGAGAAATTATATTCTGTCTGCTGGGCTACCAGATTCATCTGCAAGTCATATTCCACCTAAAATCGGTATGAATTAAGAATAAGTGACTATAAGACAATTACTATAGAGCTCAACTTCTATAAAAAGTACTGTTCATGTCTAAAACAGACATGCTGCATCTACCGAGGACAAACAGAAGCTGGGTACATAGAAAACGACTTCCCAAAAGTAGAAGATATTTTTGTTTGTTTCTTGCTGCAAGTCTTACACATTGTCACTCTACAGTATCCAGCAGTCTCAGGATATCTACCAAGAAGCTGTTTCTGAATTGTAGAGTACACAGAACTACTCCAATTAATTATGAATATTAACTTTGATTTGTTGAGGGCCTGACTGAAAATCTTTTGGACATTTCCAATGACTTGATGCGGAATTATAGAAGGCTTTAGAGAAGGCCTTTGTATAGCCGTGTAAGTAGCTGCAATGATTCCTGGCTTCTTTGCTTGTTAATTAAGAACATTTTTTATAGATTGGTCTAATTTTGAAATCTGAGTTCAATTTCACTTCTCTTCTATGGTGCTATATATTAATTCCTAATTAATGAAAGCTCCAGTGAAGCTGGCCACAGTGAGTGTAAATCAGTAAAAAGGGATGAAAAGTAGGTAAGAATAGGTCAGGCTATCAGTGAGTGGCTAGAAATATTAAGAGCAGTAAGAAATGATTATTTAACTAGAACAAAAATGTACTAAATCTTAATAAAGGTAAAACTGTCAATCATATGCAAAAAATAGCTGAAATATTCAAAACAGAATATATTTTGTTTTTTAAAAGAAGCAGGATAATGTATTCCAGTCTTATAGTGATAGCAAAATACCTTTTCCTGCATATGTATCTAGGAAGGATATAAAAATCAAATATACTACTAATAATGCACTATAATAGTCACATTACAAAGTCAAAAACTCAGAAGTTAGTTTATCACATGGTAGAGATTTCCTCTGACATTTCATTACTGTATATCATCATCTTGAAGAGCATCAAACAGATCTGAGTGCTGCTATTTTTAGCTACCTTGAGTAATACCTTCCTTTTCTCTTAATCCTATTGATATTTACTTGAATATTTATGGCGTAAGTTGCTCTCTGGTGTGCACAGTGATTTCAGGATCTACCCAGCAGATAGTTTGGAGTAAGCTATGAGCAGTGCTTTGTTTTTCTGGTCTGCTTCTTGCTCCTCAGCTGAAACAAGAGAAATCCTCTTCTTCCCCATGTGTGTCTGACTCACTGACGGGCCCAGCCTGAAATTCTGAAGTGTGATGTATCGCTCTCATTGTAGTTTCTATTTTAATGTCCTCATATAACCTCATGAAGTTCAACGAGGCCAAGTGCAAAGTCCTGCACCTGGGTCAGAGTAATCCCCAATATTAATACAGATGGGGGGGAATGAATGTATTGAGAGCAGCTCTGCAGAGAAGGACTTGGGGATACTGATAGATGAAAAATTAGACATGAGCCAGCAATGTGCTCTCGCAGCCCAGAAGGCCAATCATATCCTGGGCTGCATAAAAAAGAAATGTGGCCAGCAGGTCGAGGGAGGTGATTCTGCCCCTCTGCTCCACTCTGGTGAGACCCTACCTGGAGCACTGCATCCAGTTCTGGGGTCCCCAGTGCAAGAAAGACATGGACCTGTTGGAGCAGGTCCAGAGGAGGGCCATGAAGATGATCAGAGGGATGGAACACCTCTCCTATGAGGACAGGCTGAGAATTGGGATTGTTAAGCCTGGAGAAGAGAAGGCTCCAGGAAGACCTTATTGTGGCTTTTCAATATATAAAGGGGGCTTATAAGAAAGACAGAGAGGGACATTTTACCAAGGCCTGTAGTTACAGGACAAGGGGCAACAGTTATAAACTGAAAGAGAGTAGATTTAGACTGGATATAAGGAAGAAATTTTTTACGATGAAGGTGATGAGACATTGGAACAGGTTGCCCAGAGAAGTTGTGGATGCCCCATCATTAGAAGTGTTCAAGGTCAGGTTGGACAGGGAGCAACCTGATCTAGTGAAAGATGTCCCTGCCCATGGTAGGGAGGTTGGACTAGATGATCTTTGAAGGTCCCTTCCAACCCTAAATCATTCCATGATTCTATGAGTCCATATGAGAGGACCAAATCAAAGTGCCATGAACAACCTGAATTATAAGAACTCCTGGAACTTTTTAAAAAACAGGAGTTGGGGAAAAAACCCCACAGATAATTGGAAAATTTGTCAAATATGATTTTGAAGGAGGACTGAACCAAGGTTAAAGTTTGATGGAGATCCTCAGCATGGAGATTTCAGCTAAAGTGCTTAGTTGGGGGAAATCTTAGTAGTGACTGAAAACAGGGTCACAGAGTGGTAAATCATTAGTGATTGAGTCTTATCAGTACTCATCACATCCTGTTTCAACTACCAGGTCAGTCTCAACAGTCCTAATCATTCCCCTGGTTCTCCAGTATTACTGTCAGAGGAACTTCGTAGGGACAAGCACTTTAAAGAGTATCCTACAATGGTATAATGATCATTTTTATTTTCAGAGTAAGATGAACATGAGGCAGCTTCAGTCACATTTTTCTGGTGGTACACAGATATGTACAATGCAACTCTGATGATGCTACTCATTGCACAGTGAGTGCAATTTAGCTGTTAAATTAGTTTACACAGCTATGGAAATTTCCAAAGGGGAAGATGCTAACAAAATAAGTAAGTTTGCCTGAACATTACAGGAACAGTATATGGTCCCAGATCTATACTTGGTTACAGTTGTGTAATGCAACTAACTTTAGTGGAAAAGTCATTCTGAAATTAAATCATTCAACAAAGAACAGAATTTGTATTTCATTTTTGTATTTGACATCATAGACGGCTCTTTTTGTAGTAACCCCTTTATTTCTATTCCAACCGGTTATGTTCATCCACAATTTTTAAGGATGACAATGTGCAGTTATTTGGATTTATGCCAATTCTTCCTTCTGATTTAGAGATTTTTTTACCACCTATTTCTTAGCCATCCAGAGTGTCTTTTTAACTTCTGATACTTTTTCTCACTGTGCTCATGTATTTTCTTCCCTCGTTTCTACATTTTTCACCAGCCGTATATACTTGCCCATCCATTTGTCTTTGGAAAGACAACCTCCTAAACTGCAGGGAGTTGGCAGTCTCTGCTTCTTGTGGACAGAGATCCTGAGATATGGCTTGGGTAAAACAGGCAGACAGACAGCAGTATTGATTGCTCCTACATGTTTTTTTCTATATACAAGTAGTGTTAGGAGCTTCCAAAAGTGACAAGGGAGCTCTAACAGCTGTCTCAGCTCTCAGCTCATGAGATACCCTCAGCTTCTTCTATATATCCTCCTGCACAATCATCAGGAAAGTCTAAGGAGCCAAACTTGGCAATGGGGTTGTAGCAGTTTCTGTAAGTTTGATGGTGGGAAGTATTTGCTCATACTGCTGTTCTAGATTCATGGTCTGGGTACATTTACAGGTAATGCTTACTTTTTGAGGCACTATTTCCAATTCTGTTTATCAGGACTGGAAATTAATCTGGGAAGGTCCAGGTCTACTAATATTAGTAGAATCCCGGCAGAGAGAAGAATCAGCTATATTTATTCCTTTAATAACTCCTTGCTCAGTGCATGCTTTCTTCTCATCCTAGTCTTTGCTGAAGCCTTTTCTGACATTCCTGTAGTGTTGTGGGCAGGGTGAAAGCCAGATTAGTTATGTAGCAAAACCAAACTAATCCTTGAGGGCTGAGTCTGCTTGGACATGTGTTAATGGACTGTGTGTAGAGCACATTGCAGATGTGTGGGGAAGCAGACTGCAAAACACAATGCTGTCAGTAAAGCTGCAGAACTTGAGGTGTTCAGTGTTTCTCAGGCTTCTTTTATCCAGAGCCAGAGGGCTTCTGTAATTTCGTTTGCTCCTGCTTCCTCCTGAGGGACAGCTTTCTTTAGAGGAAAACAAGGATAAGAGAGAGGTAAGGCCTGTCTGAAGAGACCAGAGGGATCAGTCTGCTGAACTTGATGCCTGAAGGTAGGGAATTCACAGTCAGGTAGCCTGCATAGTAGAGAGTAGGCAACATTTCTTATTTGAAAATAACAGAGACAGGTGCAGTCAACAGTCTGTAGCAATAGCATCTATTTGTAAATTATCCCTATACCAGGAAGAGCTACCTGCTAATAAGAAGTTATAGAGTCTTCACTGTTTTTTATGGTGATGTTTTGCTTTTTCTAATTCTCTTCCTGATATACTTTTCTAGCAGAGCAAATAATAATAATAATTAATTATTAATTTTTATCATGTAGCACTATTCTTACCCAACAGCAAACTCAGCCAGGATAGTGCCAAACAAAGCTGCAAGCAATTTTTCATTTAGGAAAATAGAGTTTTCTGTATTACTGCTATGGGAAAATGTCATATCTCAGCTGATGGCATACGCTGTTGTAGATGTAATGATCCTTGGTTATAATGGTGATGAACCACTATGCAATTGCGTGTCAGGTTTTGACTGCACCTGTTTGCAAACTGAGGTAATTATGCTCTGTTGTCTAATTGCTTATTTTATGGATGTTTTGCTCACATGTTTTTAAGCAATGCTATTTGATTGCAGATAACTAATGGTAGGGATGCCTTCTCATTATCATACTTTAACATTTGATTTGTCTGATTGCTGCAGGTGGAAACAATAGGTGATGCATACTGCGTTGCGGCAGGGCTCCATAAGAAGAGTCTTAGTCATGCTAAAGCCATTGCCCTGATGGCACTGAAGATGATGGAGCTTTCAGAAGAGGTTCTCACTCCAGATGGGAGCCCTATTAAGGTAACCCCTTTGCTCTTTATTCTCAGCTAGTCAGTGGTACGTGGACCTGATTAATTCCATCATGTTCTGTCAGTAGAAATCTGTTTATTGCTAGGAGAATTTAAAACTGTATCAATATATCACAGTCTTTTTTATGGACATATATTTCACTGGTGCCCATCAACAATCATGTAAGCTGTGCCTTACTTTAGTAAGCATGGTAGACCATACAGACTAGATGTCGCCTTTTCATATGCATTGAATGCCTATTTGTGGCTGGAGGGCATTAGATGCACTCCTGGAGCCCTTCCAATTCAGTTTAGTGTGAGAAGAAGACAGTTCACATGATCCAGGACTGTCCCATGCTACAAGCCAAAGCACAATATGCAATGGCAATTGGGAAATTCATTTCAGAAGTAGGCTCCTGATCTGAACTTCAGCACTAGTGTAGAGGAACTCAGAGAGTTCTGCGGCTCTAAGGGGCCACATGTCTCTTTTCTAAATAGTTGTTGACCTGTATAAAAGAAGAATGTGTAGACTGCCTGCTCTTTCTCAGTGTTAATATGCTTTCTTCCCACACAGTTCCAGTTCCTTCTCCTAGATTGGTGCAAGAGGTAGCAGGAGATGGAAAACCACGTCCTTCTGTACCATTTTAAAGTTCCACTGCTGTTCTGCTTCTCTTGATCTTATACCAACCTTGTAGCTGCTGGCATTTAGAATTGGTAATATTTAGGTAGAAGATGGAGGTTCAGCAAGAAAAACCATGGAGGTACATATATGCCTCTCTTTTTCAAGGGTCAGATTACACATTGTTTTCATTATGTGTACTCACTCCTGTTTCTGGTTAAATTGTTCTTCTGATAATACAACCCTTTTGTTTTCAAAGAAAATGGGGGGATTGTGTAGAACAATTATTCAACACTGTCTAAAGCCTATAACAAAAGCCATATGTAGCTGGATGAGAAGGCCGGACAGACTTCCCGTGGGATGATTTCCGTCATGGTTGAAATGCACTTCGTAATCTGCAATTCCTCATGTCTATTAAAAATGAGGGTTGCATCTGAAATGCTTCTTTTTTTTTTTTCCCCAAAAATTGAAAGACCTGTTTTGAAGGTTTAAAACTTGACAGAAAGGAGGTAAAATTTTTAAAAATGTATTTAGGGATGTTGCTGTGATGCTCCTTGAGCAATAAAATTGTATACTTCTGAGTTCAAACTCTTCTCTATCTATTAGTTAGGTCGTATCTTGGACTATATTCCTTGAACTCTTTGTGCATGGTGAATCAAGAGAGATTTAATCCAAATGAATTGTTCTGCCCAGAAAGGAGAGTGTGGATGCAAGGCAACCAAACCAGAAATTCAGAAATTCCATGAAATATGGCAACACAATAGTCAAATGAAAATATATTGAATTCTGGATGAAATATTTTTATTTTTAGATATTGATGCTGCTGATGAATTTTTTTTAAATGTAAAAATAAAATATTTATTTAATTATTGAAAAATGTCCACATATTCAAAAGAATAACTTTCTGAAAAAATATCTTGGACTATGGATCTTGAAGAAAATTTTTTTAAAGCTTCATGTGGACGAACACGGAATAAGCGTTAAAAGACAAATGTTGACTGAAGATATCAGAAGACATCTCATTTTCAGTTTTGATATAAGACAGTTTCAAACAGGTATTAATTTAATCCTATTAAAATAGATTTTCTACATTGCTTGATGATTTCTCTATTTTTCCAATGACTATAGCTGATTAATACACTCTAGCTATACTGTCACATGCTAGGAGAGCTGTCTTCCAGAACCTCTCCATCTTTTCACTTTCTTTCGAGTGATTGCTGCAATTGT